AGGACGTCTCTCTCACGGCGTACAGGGAGAACGTACGTGGCCAACGTGTTTCTACATTAAATTGGAAATCTGCTATTTACTGAGACCCGTGTGTTTGACTCTGAAATGTAACTCCATTCTGTTGCTACCAGAAGTAGTTATTTGCTTTCTGATTGCAAACAATTTTGCATTAGACTCAGCTCGGGCTAGTCACCTTTCTGAGAAACGATGAGGTGTGTTCTGTGGCTGGGATTGCGCAGTGCTTCTTGAAGGCTGGGCCTTGCTACACACAGGCAACTTCGCACCTGAAACCAACACATCAAAAATACGGTTATTTTCATGCTCTGTCTCAAATTAAGAGCACGGATGGGCATTTTCAGTTTGGGGGGGGGGGGGAAAAAAAAAAAAAAACAAACCAGAAAAGGCAACACCAGAAAAGACAAATGCATAATAAACATCTTAGTACACAATTACAAGACCAGAAGCAGCTGAGTAAAAGAGGACTTTAAGCTTAAAGCATTTGGGACGTTAAGCAGGGAGAAAAAAAAAACAAAGGGGAATGGAAAATTCTGTTTTTCTATTTCATTCCATCTTTTAGCAGAGGTGCCACTTTGCTGCTCAGGTTTTCCAGCATCCTTAGACATGTTTTTATCTAACAAATCTGCGAGCAAAGGGCATCTGTCCCCAGTCCTCAACCTGTCCGCTTGTCCCCATGGATGGCTCCCACTGAGCTTTTTGCATCTTCTGTCAGCTATTTTGAGTAAAATCCTCGAGCTTTCACGGGGCAGCAGAAGTTACTCATTACAGTAGTCCACGTGACTAGCCTGGTTCAGACCCTATTGGTGTAAAAATAAATATTAATGGCTCCCGTTATATTTTGACTGTTTTATTTTCACACTTCATACAACTCTTTCTTTCTGTTTCGAAACAGGTATTTTGTGACGCTAATCAAGTCGTACAAGCCACAGACGTGTTAGACTGGGAAGACAAGGATGCTGCAGAGACATTGGTTGACAACGTGGTCCATTCCAGGATCATCAACCCTTTGCGCCTGTTTGTTAAGCCATCTCCAGTTCTGAAACACGGTCAGGTGTCCTACTCAGACAGCATAGAAAATTTTTGGGATTGGTTGTCCAACATCACAGAGGTTCAGGAATCTCTCGCACGAACTAAACGCAGACCTATAGTAAAAACTGGGAAATTCAAGAAAATGTTTGGATGGGGCGACTTCCACTCTAACATCAAAACTGTTAAGCTGAACCTCCTGATCACAGGGAAAATCGTCGATCACGGCAATGGGACCTTCAGTGTTTATTTCCGACATAACTCCACAGGTCTGGGAAATGTTTCCGTAAGCCTGGTGCCGCCTTCCAAGGTGGTTGAGTTCGAATCATCTCCACAGTCAACACTGGAGACCAAGGAATCCAAGTCCTTCAATTGCCGAATTGAGTACGAGAAAACAGACCGCGCTAAAAAAACTGCCTTGTGCAATTTTGACCCTTCAAAGATCTGCTACCAAGAGCAGACTCAAAGCCATGTCTCCTGGTTGTGTTCCAAACCGTTTAAAGTTATCTGCATTTACATTGCTTTCTACAGCGTAGATTACAAACTGGTGCAAAAGGTCTGTCCTGATTATAATTATCACAGCGAGACTCCGTACTTGTCCTCCGGCTGACACAATCGTGGGTATCTGCAGAGATACAGCATCCGTCACAGAAATACGCATTTACATTAACCTTTGGGAGAAGAATATGTTTTCCTATGGGGTTAAAAAGTCTTTAAAAAAAAAAAAATGTAGCTGTGCGTGTGCTGTATCGTAAATAATCAAACTATTTATGTAACAGTCATTTTCATTTGAGACCATTGCATTTTAGCACTCTCATCATTAATAAGGGAACTACCAGGCAGACACATGACAAAAATCAAACAAAATTATGTCTGTAATGAACATCGATCTTGAAAATCACTTTTTTAAACTAGACTCGATGGCAGAGGGGTCGTCTTTTACTTGAATTGGACAGCACTTAGCAGGATCCTATTTCTCATTGGAAACTTTAGAAGATGACACTATAAAGAACAAATGATGATGCAGACTCTCAGCTGCTTAGATTCAAAAATCCATATAAACCGCTCTCCCTCTAATTTCATTAAGAATGTTACACACACAGGGCTCAAGGAATCAAGTCCAACTACTAAGAGAAAGTGCTATTTCTAGGACAAAAAAAAAAAAAAAGAGGAAAGGAATCTGCATTTCTATGAGCTGTAGTAGTTGTACGTATTCATTGAAGAGTGAGTAGTTCTTCCTTCAGACTTCTCACCCATGGATATGCAATGATGTAATTAGACATTGATGAGCTTTAGTTTATTAGACCCACCAGGCGTGCGGGTTTGGTGTACATTTCTTCCTTCCGTGGTCACCACTGCTTTTGATTCTTCTCAAATGTTTACATATACACCAGTTCTAGTTTTACAGTGATAGAAAATCCATGTACCTTGGAAAAAGATAATCTCTGTTTAAGTCTGATGGTAACAGGGGCTGATTTCCACGTAGAGGAAGCAATTATGTCATTGTCTAACCCTCGGCACTGTATTGCAGCGCAGAAAATACACGGCAGCGCAAGGACGATGCCTGAACAAGCTTTCTGCTTAACGGCACCCAGTTGTCTTCCTTAGTATTGCATTGCATACCAAAATATAAGCAATGACAAATAAGGAGGACAACGAAATCTATGCATCTTCACCTCATCAGGCAGAAATAACAATTAACTATCAATATAAAAACATTCAGCCCGCCTTTTCCCCTGGTGCAGAATAGCACCGCTCCCCCGCAGTTAGTTATAACAAGGGAGGGTCCGGCGGTGGTTTGGTTTCAGGAGGACAGATGTTGCTTCCGCGCAGCCAGCGGCGGTTGGGATGCGACCGCCAGCAGCCATCCCCCACGCTTTTGTCGGGGACTGCTTTTGCTGCTGCCGCTGCCGATTTGCTATCACAGTTCTTCATGACAGCTCCATGTGACGGGGCCGGTGGAAGGAGCTGGCTGAGGAAGTGCTTTTTATTGCCTCCGATCAAACTTACACGCAGGGCCTGAGGAGTTCCGTATCGCTTGAATGAAGCGCTATTGGAGTTCCGTATCGCTTGAATGAAGTGCTATTGAAATGCTCCACCGGGGTGGTGTGCACGGAAGGACTCACTCATGAGATTAATTCTGATTTCCTTGGTAAAAAGTCTCATACAAAAAAAAAAAAATAACAATCACTCTGTTAAAAATATCCTACAAGTAACTGGCTAATTTGTTTTTCTCTTTAGGTGACAAATTTAAATGTGTGGTTTAGTTTGTTCAATAATCTAAATGTTTTCCTTCATCTTATTTCATACAGAGTCTCTCCTGGTCTAAATGATGTTTTTTAGTTTGTCTATTACCGTCGATTCCGACAAGATGGTCTACTTTGTATTCTGTATAGCGTGTCCTCGTTCCGGCTGTATATAAGCTTGGATTTATTGCGATGAGTTCTGTGGTTGGTGCTTTTGTAACTTAGCTGTAAGCCATGATTTTATTGCCATGTATTTTTACTCAGCACTGTAGGCAATTAAAAGAAAACCCTACGTGCTATTTATTGTAGAGTATGTGGAAATCATGTATGTATATACACTTAAATACGTGTACATATAAAGAATATATGTGTACATGTATTTGTATGTAAATAAAGAGAGTTTGCTAAATCTGGCACTTGCTTGTGGCATATTTGATTTTTGTTTTTATTTTTTTTAAAATGTGGTATATATTCAGACACAAAGCAAAACTAAGACACTGCCACACATCACTGAAGGTTTTTCCCCACCTAGAATTTGTTTTTCTCGGAGCTACGTAAGTGTGCGCTGCAGTGCCCCGTGCTACAAGCCTGGGCAAAATGGCTTCAGCAGCACTTCAGGATATTTGGGAAACGAAGCGCATGTTTTGACGAAGACAATCATGACCTGTTTAATAACTGTGCAAGGTGCGTCAAAAGTAAGTCTCGGTGAGAAATCGTGCTCCAGCTCCTGCCAAGCAGGAACGTGCTGCAGGACGGGGCAGCCCGCTGCCGACTCAGCCCTTGCGCAGAGTTTCTCATGGAAGCAGGAGCCGGATTCTCCCCCCGCCCAGATGTCCTCTCGCTGCGGCACAGCCACCGCCTGGGCTGAGCTTTCCACACCTCAGGGAGACAAACCAGAACCTCGAGCAAACAAATATCCCTCCGGAAACACCCGGAGCGGAGCGCCTGGGCTTTCACAGGGAAAGGCTACTACAAATCAAGGGACGAGTATTTTAACAGCTTTAACACCCGAACACAGAGAAGACACGGACCTCACCAGCAGCTTTTGACCTAAAGCAACTCTCAGGCTCTTCAAGCAAGGCTCAGGATAGTGCCGTGCCACGGGAGGAGCAGCAGAGAGACGGAGCCTGCGACAGCCGCAACCCACACCATGTCGCTTGGGCTCCCCCGGACCCGGCTGCAGCCCGTCCTCCAGCACGGGACTGGGAAGAGCTGTTGTCTCTCACCCGCGACTCCCACCACGGAGCCTTCCCGCACCCCAAACCTCCTAACGACAGAGCCCCAAACCCGCTCGGCTCCCTCCGCACCTCACCAACACAAACCAGTTTGGCAAAAGCCAAAGTTTGCTGGAAGAAGCAATGACAGAGACGCACCTTTGGAGACTTCGCCTTTTGCTTTAACGCAGTCCAAGCGGTTTTCCCCAGGGAGAAGCGATGCCTCAGCGGTGCAATGGGACCAGCGTTGCCACACGCTTTGATGCCGGGGCGATGGGAGCAGCTGGCACCGCTCTCCTCCCACCAAGCCCCGGCAGAAGGAGGCAGGCTGGAAGCTGGAGCAGCAGGAACCCATCACACCAGAGAACTCACCACCACGCTTTTTCCAATGTTTTAAAAAACAGCCTAAAAGCATTATGGTTTTTTTTTTTTCCAGATCAATTGTAAGAAAGTCACTGCAAAAAAGCACTTGCAATCTCACCGCAGTCAAAATCAGATTAAGAAGAAATTATTTACGCCTAGCGAGGTAAGCAAACGACAATCCAATGAATCGAAGGAAGTGACAGACTTCATTAGGTCAAATGTCCATGTGAACAGAACTAAATTTGATTTAATTTCACACAAAACAGGCCATATTTTAATAAACATTTTCCTGTGTAGCAGGTGACTGTTTTAGACACGTTTCAGATTTCAATGATTGTTCCTCTCATGACTCTTATTCAAAGGATTTTAAAATAAAAATTTGGAACATTAAATATTTTTTTAAGGGTCCCAAGTGGGCAATAATGATTTATGACCACAGCAATTTAATCTAAAGGGTTTTAATATACATACTTTAATCCAAATCTCAACAGTATAGTTCCGTATGCATTTATATCAATGCAAATATGTATCTAAACTTCTTCCTAAACACACTTCTTACTGTTCTCCCCATCCCACACATATGTAATAAGAAGATCCCAATGAAAAGCTAATTCGTGATACACACATAAGCACAGGATTTTTTTCCTTCAGACAGCCCCACCATACGGTGCTGCGGGGACCGCACGCATTCAGAATTTCCTTTTTTAATCATTTCATTTTGAACAGGGAAATAACTTAGTTTGGGTTTTCACTTCTCTTTCCCCCTCCCTCAAGAATTTCACCCTGCGGATGCTTTCCATTCCCCTGCAAGCCCGGCCGGTGCTGGGACCCACACTACGCCGGGACGTGGGGCTCCCTGTCCGCCACGCCGCCCCCGTGCCGCTTCCCAGACTCTCCCATCCAGCGGCCAGCCAGGCAGGAAAAGCAAAAAGCCGAGTGTTTTTTGCTGCAAGCTCCCTACATTTTCTTTTTAGGGGGAATTTACTAGGCGGTGCTAAAAGAGCAAAGCCCCCGATGCAACTGGAAAAGCTCTCCCAGCGACCAGGCGAAGGTGTTCGGTGCAAATCAGCATCCTGTGCTGCCGCTTTTTTTTGTTTGTTTTAAATGTAATTCAAGGACATTAGAATTTGGTATTTGTTTTATGCTCTGTTGACCAGCATAATCTGGATAATGTTTTATTTATAGTATAATAATGATTTGTCATTACCACTGTCCCTATTCAAATATGCACAGTTGAAAAGACAATAACAACTCGCATATACTAAGTAGCTCAATGAAACACACATCAATCAAGTGGATTTTTAGCTGTAGGGTGCCTCATTTGAAAAAAAACCCAAGACTTTGCCATTCCCATCTCTCTCGTGAACACCTCTCGCACGCATCCGCCAGAAGCAGCTCCCTTCTTTGTTTTAAAACTAGCAAATAAAGTGATGTTTCTCACAGATTGGCAACCAGCACCCAAGCGTACTTAGAGGATATTGCCTGCACGACATTAGACAAAACCCCAGGAGCTACTGTAACCCCGGCACAGGTTCACAAAAAAAAAAAAAAATATCACAAATTTGTACCACATCCCTGGTGGATTCAGGTCTCTGGAGTTACTGAACAGGAATTAAACCGCATCTCACTAGATCCCACAGGAAAGACGGGGACAGACTTTTTGGCAGGGCCTGTTGCGATGGGACAAGGCGTAATAACTTTAAATTAAAAGAGGGCAGATTTGGACTAGATATAAGGAAGACGTTTCTTACACTGAGGGTGGTGAGACACTGACCCAGGTTGTCCAG